AAAAAAAAAAAACATATGTGGAAGGGTGCTTGGGTGGCTCAGTTGGTTAAGCATCTGACTTCAGCTCAGGTAACGATCTCTTGGTCTGTGAGTTGGAGCCCTCCATCGGCTCTGGGCTGACAGCTCGGAGTATGGAGCCCGCTTCAGATTCTGTGTCTCCCTCTCTCTCTGCCCCTTCCCCACTTGCGCTCGCTTGCTCTCTCTTGCTCTCTCTCAAAAAGAAACAAACAATTAAAAATTTTTGAAACATTTGTGAAGGGGCATCTGGCTGACTCCATCAATAGAGCATGTGGCTCTTGCTCTTGGGGTCATGAGTTCAAGCCGCATATTGGGCATAGAGCTTACTTAAGGAAAAAAAAAACCAAAAAACAACAAACAGTGGAAAGTTTACTATGTTTATTACAGGCATTGGAGTCATCACTGTCTGCATTACCTCATTTAGTACATTAAAAAACCTAAGTGGATAGGCACCATTATCAATTCAGCTTACACACTAGAAAACTAAGCACTAAAGTTAGGTAACTAGCTTGTCCAAGATCACACAGTACGTGTTGGAGCCCAAAGTAGAATACAACTTCCTTTACAACTTTTTATTTACCTAAAATGTTAACTTTCATATTTTTTACCCAAGTGAAAAATGAGCCCCCAAGTGGACACAGCAACAAGCACATGCCAGATTTGGCATCGTATCCAGTGGCAGTGGGGACCTAGATGAAGAGTGTATTAAAAACTCAACCCACATTTATCTTAATTTTATCTTTCTCCCCATTGAACAGTAATGAAAAGTCTTCTAAACCACCACTGAGAATACAAATCATAGCTTGGTAGTATACGTCAGGTACACCTACTGCATGCTTTCTCTTTCTAAACAAAATAACACCATTAGGAAGAAGTTTAAATTTTAAGGTCACTCTTCCATTGAGAACTAGAAGTCTTCTTCTGGCAGAGAAGGCTAAAGTGGGAACTAAGCTTCAAGTTCGTTAAAGCAAATGAGAAATATGAAAGGACCATATAACAATTTTGGAGGAAACATTCAGAATTGTGTATAACTGGATAAAAAAGAAAGCTATAAGAACCAAAAAAAAAAAAAAAAAAAAAAAAAAACTAATAGCAAAGGGGACAAATCTAAGGGATAATATCCAACAATATTACTAAACAGAGTTCCCAGACGGAACCTAATCATGAACAGTAACATGAAAAATGGAGGTAATCCTAATAATATTTCTACTTTACCTTTCCAATTTGCTGTAGAGTGCACACAATACCTTATACTTCTTCAACAGTCTTGACATAGCATTATCAACTTTGGTACTCGTATCAACTTCTTTTAGTAAATCAAAGAATTTGTAGACACTAAAAGAAAACAGAAAAAAGTGAATCTGTAACTGAAAAAATGTTTTATTTCATTTTCAAAGCAGAGACATTTCAATTAAAAAGTTTATTAGCTCTACACCAAATCACTATTATATTCTTTAGAAGGAATTACTTTTTACATTCTACTAGACTTTGAAGAGTAAAAATCAACTAGCTTCAACTTACACCCCTGTATCTGTATACCTATGCCTACATTTATTTATACAAAAACAAGGGTTATGACAGGCATATACATACATATTTATTTCCATACCTACCCATATGCTTTGAAAATCATAACTTCACATCTATTTATCTAATTCCAACAAAAAACATGGTTTTTTGAACACATGGTTCATTCCAGTGTTTCCATTTCCATATGTATAACTCTTCATTCACAGTGAGAAACCTAAGATCTACTTAACTTTATTTATTCATTTAGTCAACCCCCCCTGTATGTAACTACCTTCCATCTCCAAAGATATCCCCTCTCCCATATGGGCACTCTCCTCTCCTGCTCATACTGACTCCCCATCCTAGACTGCCCTCACCCCTCTACATGGACATCTTCCTCACCCTAGGAGACTGCTGACTCCCCTCCCGTAACTGCCCTCACCTCACATGTGCCATGACTCTCTACACTGGCTTACTACACACCCTGCTTGGTCTCTGACACTGCACACCAAGCAGTCCAGATCATAATCCCCACCCCCAACCACAGCCATGTGAATGCCTTCCTTATCTCATTTGGACTCTAACATCCTTCTTGGACCCCGTGGCTCCACCCTATCACAGATGCACATACCTACTTTCTTCACTGCACCCCCCCCCCAAGTGGTTTTAGGACTGAATTGTTGGGGAAGGGAAAATAAAAACTGAATAAAATTTTTAAGTGGTTTAAATAATCTCTTTAAATCATTCTTTATTGTTTTCTATAAAAAATTAATCTATGTGAAATATTAACATGTTTTTCACCAATAAGAAACAGGGCACTAAAGACAGCAATCATCAACTGCACCTCACACACTCATTTCTAATCAAGATTGTCTAAGGAATTATACCAAAGCAGCTAAATGAACTAAAGGGTAGTCACCAGACGCACCCATAGGCTGTCTGGCAACTAATGAATTATAGGTTTCATTCCAAAAATGGACTGGACCCCTCAGACACTTATCTTGAGAACTGTAAAAATAAAAGCTTCAGCTAATCAACAGAGGGCAAAAAACCCAAAAGAAGGTTATTAAAATCCTCAGGATATAGAAGGGACTGGGGCAGCCACAACAAGCTATGTGGAACAGCAAACAAAAAAGCAGAAATAATGTGGAGTAAATGATCATGATGCTGCTCAGAAAAGGGAATGGAGTAAATGTGTAGATACCTCCAGAGAAAAAGAAATCAACTTCAGAACAGCATTTATTCATGAACCATTCTCCATGAAAATTCCAGTTTTTATGAGATATATGGCAATATCTATGGAGGACCATGGAAACGGAATTGTTACTAGGGGTAACTTAATTGAGTATTCCTTCTGTAGCCCTTCTGTGAAGGAAAGAGAAGAGGAAAGGCTAGAGGGAGGAAAAGCAGGTATAAAAAGCCATAATTAAGACACACGGATCTGTAAGTAACTACATATTCTAGAGCAGTGCTCCATGAATTGGTACTGGTTTGTTATCCGTCCACAATTAAATAAGTACAGAAATTGAGGGTAAGCATATAAAAACTTTCACAGTTTAACACTAATTTTATGCCTGCTAAATATAATAAAAATAAAAATATAAAATATAAAAATAAAAAATATTACTATAAGTTTTTCATTTCATTTTTTTTTGGTAATCAATTGACATTATATATTTTTAAATGTCAGTCCATGATATACTGAGGAAAAAAGTCCTTTACCAAAGCACATTTAAGAAGCAGTGGTCTAGATAACATTACTGGGTAGTTATTAGAACAGAGAGATGCCCTAAGAAAAAGTCATAACAAGTCATTCCTACATTTATTTTAGGGAGATTAGTTATGACATGCCCAATTATAAAACAGTGCTGCTTATGAATACTCAGGAAAAAAGTATAGGAAAACATTTGCCAGGAAAATTCTTTCATGTTACAAATAAAAGATGTATTCACTTTTCTCTTTCATATTTATTTAGTAGTCTATAAATAGCTATATAACACTGAATTGCAGCCATCTGTTTAATTTTATCTTTCCCAGTGGACTGAGTTTCTTGAGGTCACAGACTATTTCTCACCTCCATATCATTAGAACCTAGCACAGTATCAGAGTGCCTAACAGTTATTCCAGTTTTCTTTCTTTTTTTTGTAGGGGAAGGGCATGGAGGGGTGGTCTGTAGAAGGAAAGAGCTCAAGACCTCAACAGTACCTATGGTCGAGTCGAGTCATAAATGCTGATTCTATAAACTGCTTACTTCTCTATTTGCTGTAAGCTATTTAATTCTCATATAAAGTAGCTAATAATTTTCACTTTACAGATGAGGAAACTGAGACTTAATAAAGCTAAGCAATCTGCTCCAAGTCATACAGCTTGTAAAACAACAGAGACCAGATTAAAACCTGCTCTGTCTCAACCAAAGCATCCATATTCTTTTCAATCCTCTAGGACAGATGAATCGTCTAGGTAGATGAAACATCTACCATGTAAATATACAAATTAATGTAGAAATTTACTTATATATTTAGATTATTTCTCAGTTATATAAAAATATTTTGATTTAGTGATTTTATTAATCAAGTTAAACTGAAATCTGAGCAGTAAACCAATTCTAATTCACCAGGTTAAATATGAACATACAGTATTATGCTGAGTGAAATAAGTCATTCAGAGAAGGACAGATATGATAGGTTTTCACTCATGTGATCTTGAGAAACTTAACAGAAGTCCATGGGGGAAGGGAAGGGGAAAAAAACAGAGAGGGAGGGAGGCAAACCACAAGAGACTCAAATACAGAAAACAAACTGAGGGTGAGGGCAAGGGGAAAATGGGTGATGGGCATTGAGGTGGGTACTTGTTGGGATGAGCACTGGGTGTTATATGTAAGCCAATTTGACAATAAATTATATTCATAAAAAAATAATAATATACAAGGTCTTTGTTTCCACATTTTATTTAGAGGCAGTAAGAAAAAGAGTTACTGAACAACACAGCAATTTATCTCATTTAAATAAAACACCAATTATGTTTAATTCTAGATGATTTTATCCAAGAAAAAACATACACTACTACCTTTCTGGTAACATTATTTACTGTTACATTTTGTAAATACATTGCAAATGAAAAGACTGGAAGTCCCACAAACTTTATCTGCTCAGGATACAGTTCAGAAGTTACTAGAAACAAATTAGTAAATGCTTCTTATAAGGCTTATAAACTCAACAACAAACATTAATTCCTAGAGCAACTATGGACACTCAGCTAAATTTCCAGTCTCAAAAAGCATATAATTATGCATATATTACATTAAGCAATCTTAAACATTAATAAATCTTAGCTAAATTCCTTTAAGATAGACTTACAGTACTTTTATAAGTTTTAATCTAATAAGTCTACATTACAAACCCTTGTTCTTTTTGTCCACTTCATCAAGAGCTACAACTAGGAAAGTTCTAGAGAGTGAGAGACATGATGAAAAATTTCCCAGGACACAAACTGCGATATTCTTGAGAAAGTGCAACATAAATATACATTCATTAAGGCTTCATGAGAGAAAGTTCACTAGTTGACCTAAGTCCTTTAAAAGTTTTATTTAATTTCAACATTTCTCACTAGTTCTCTAAAGTCTATTAAGAGGAAAGTTCAGAAATACTTTTCTTTAATGGCAGAGGCCTATATTGATGTAAGAAATTTTACCTGGTTTCTATGTTTTTCTGTAGCTCAGTAAAGGTGAATGGCATCTCATCTAGGTCAACTGCTGCAATAAAGATACAGATTCCCCATAGTTCCTTTTTCCTTTGACTATAACCTTCCTGGGTACAAAAAAAAAAAAAATTCAAATATTTCATTAATTATTCACACACTGGATACTATACTAAAATTATATGATGATTATTTTCTTACTCAATTTAACTTGCTTTTAAATTCTTATGATGGCATATAGTTGAGAGTATTTAATTCCACACTAACAAAAAATCTTTAATTTTATATTATAAAGCAGAAAATACTAGAAAGATCAGAAAGTTAAATTATAACTTACTGTGAAAAATTGAGGGGTCAGTTCTCTGAAGCAAATATTTTCATTTTTCAATAATCCAATGTCATCAGAGCCGACTTAAAAGATTTGAGTTCATAACAATTGTTTTTTTTTAAAAAAAGAAGCCTACTTTCTTATCTTCATTTTGCTCTGATACACTTATTTTTTTACCAATCTACTGACTCAAGTATTTTGTAACCTCATGAAATTCATATTTCTCAGTGCCATAATTGCCTCCTTTGTAAAATGGAAATAATAATACATATTTCACTTGGTAAGAATTAAGTGAGAGTATACATCTAAAGCCCTTAGAATAATGCCCGGCATATAATTAGTACCTGATGAGTGATGGCTATGATTATCATTAGAATACTTTTTCCCTTAAAAATATGTATCTCTTTCTAAATATGTAAGTTTTGTAGGTAAAACTTGATTACATTAGATTGCAAACAAAAGAAATACCCAATTAGCTGATATTCTATTACACAACTGGAACAATTTGCTTACTCTCAACTGAAGGTTACAACAGAGCTGAAAAGTTTATGATGAAATTTTACATTGTTTTGAAATCTCAGTTACATATAAACTTTAGGAAAAGAATTGTTCTGGATTATCAAATTTTAATAATAAAAACATTATCTAACTCAACTTTTCCTTAATTTCAGCTACATGGAAAACATATTTTTTATTTAAGTTTTGTTTTAATTACAGTATAGTTAACATACAGTGGCATATTAGTTTCAGGTGTACAATACAGGGATTCAACAATTCCATATATCACCCAATGCTCATCAGGACAAGTACACTCCTTAATCCCCATCACCTTTTTAACCCATCCCCTCACCTCCCTTCTGGTAACGATCAGTTTCTTCTTTATAGTTAAGAGTCTATTTCTTCATGTGTCTTTTCTTTCCTTTGCTGTTTGTTTTGTTTCTTAAATTCCACATTATGCAGCAATCTGTTGCATTTCTATACAAATATCTTAAAACTTACAACTATACACCCACTAGAATGGTTAAATTAAAAAGACTGACAATATGGTTGAGACGACAAATGGTTGGTAAGGATGTAGAGCAAGGAATACTCAAATACTGCTGGTGATCATGTAAAATGGTACAACCATTTTGAAAAACAAGTTTGGCAAGTTCTTATAAAGTTAAGTATATACTTTCCATAACACTTAGCAATACCACTCCTAGGTATTTATACCCAAGAGAAATGGAAACTTTGTACATAAATGTTAATAACAGCTTCAATTATAAAAACCAAAAACTAGAAAATGTCCCAATATCCAAAAACTGGTGAACAGATAAACTGTGGTACAGCCATACAATGGAATGTTATTCAACAATAAAAAGGAAAAGTACTGGGGCGCCCGGGTGGCTCAGTCAGTTAAGCATCCGACTTTGGCTCAGGTCAAGATTTCACAGTTCGTAGGTTTGAGCCCTGCGTTGGGCTCTGTGCTGACAGCTCAGAGCCTGGAGCATGTTTCAGTTTCTGTGTTTCCCTCTCTCTCTGTCCCTCCTCCATGCATGCTCTGTCTCTCAATCTCTCTCTCGAAAATAAATAAAACATAAAAAAATGTTTTTAATAAATAAGGAAAAGTACCAATAAACACAACATAAACCTCAAAATTATCACATGAAAAAAAGAAGCTAGAGAAAAAAGGGTAAATCCTATATACTGTTCTTCCTTTCCTACAAAACTCTAGAAAAGGCAAAATTAATTTTTAATGGCAAAAAGTACATCAGTGGCTGCCTTGGGACAGGAGTGGAGGTGTTAGACAACAAAGGAAAGGAGAAAACTTTCTGGACCAAAAATTTCTATACTTTAATTGATGGTGGTAATTACATGGTTGAGTGCATTTATCATGATTTACTGGGGCGCCTGGGTGGCTCAGTCAGTTAAGCATCCAACTTTGGCTCAGGTCAGGATCTCACAGTCCGTGGGTTTAAGCCCCGTGTCAGGCTCTGTGTTGTCAGCTCAGAGCCTGGAGCCTGCTTCAGATTCTGTGTCTCCCTCCCTCTCTCTCTGCCCTTTCCCCCACTTGTGCTCGCACTCTCTCTCTCTCTCTCAAAATAATAAGTAAACATTTAAAAAATTAAAAAAAAAAAAAACTTAGGAGACAGAGTCAACATGGCAGAGAAGCAGGGGGACGTGAAGGTCCCCCGCCCCTCAAACACAGGAGTATTGAGGCCAGAAGATTTGGAATTCCAGGAATCTAGGCTACAGAGTGACAGAAACATCTCCAGGGGCCAACAATACAACTTGGCAAGCTATAAGTGGGTGACTATGAACTGGGAGAGATAAAACAGGAGGCATAGGCACAGAAAAGAAGGATCTCCTTCTGTGGAGAGACAAAAGGAAGAGACAGAGAGGCTGTGGAAGCGTAGGATTATGTTTGGACAAGAGAAAAACCTCTCTGGACCATAGTCCAGGGAATGGAAAAAACAGAAAGAACCAATGTCTAACTTGCAAACAGCCTTAGAAGTGACAATCCAGGGTTATAGGACTTTCTCCAGACTGGGGCCTGCTGCCTTGTACATGCACCTGGTGGAGAAGGGGAGCCACCCCAGGCTCAGTAGCAAGCTCAGAGGCACAAAGACAGCAGTCCCCTCCCTTGGGTGTTGTGGGAAGAAGTATATAGCCACTCCAAGGACAAAAGACCTGCCAGCCAGAGGCCCTTTGCTGGCAGGGTAGAGTGGCACTACCCTGGAATGGGGGCGGGCAGAGTGGGATCCTTTAGGACATTGGGGTTTGAATCCCAGCCAAGTGCCTGGAAGGCACAGAAGACTGTGGAGCAAGACAAACCACCTGCTCATGCCCAGGCAGCACTGTGAGGACAGCCTGAAGAGAGTGGTATGGGATAGCCCATCCAGGGAGTAGAGACTGGGGTGTCGCCATTTTTATCCCCATCACCAATAAGGTCGCGCTTCAGGGAACAAAACAGCAGGCCCAGAGTGGAGGCAGAACCCACCTACACCAAACCACGCCCCTCCCCCTTTGTACCTGGTAACTGCTATCTACCTGAGCAAGACTGACACAGACCGAATCAGACAGCCCCTCCTCCAGACCAGCACAGCCACTGGTTTCAAGGAACCATCAGATATTGGTCCAGCAGTTTTGCATTTTCTGATTGGATTCATGGTCAATTTTTTCTTTCTTTTCTTCCCTTTTCTATTCTGGTTATTGGTTTAAGCAGACGTTTTTAATCTAGTCTTTTCATATCTCTTCTGTATCTCTTTTTTCCTTATTTTCCCCTTTCTCTCTCGAGAGTAAGCCATACAGTTTCTCTGATTTTCTGCCTGGTCATTTTTTTTTTCTTTTCTTTTTACCCCACCCCTGTCATTTCTCTCTTTGTATGGTATAAGGCTTCTTCTACCACCATGCCTTTTAAAATTTTTTCCAGGGTTATTTCAATGAACAAATCAAAGTATACCTGGTGGAAGGTCCAAGCCACCACTACAAGTAGGGAGATAGAGCAACCAGAGTCACAATAACAGAGAGCACACAACACACTCCAAAAACACATCCTGAATGACCAGGCCCTGGACAGTGTATGACCCCTTTTTAATATAGTAGTGCTCGTAGGTGAAGGACACTTAACAAGCTATTAAAACACTTAAAGGGCAGAAAACTAGCTAAAATGATGAAATGGAAGAATTCCCTCAAAAGAAATTTCAGGAAGAAATGACAGAATTTCTCAAAACAGATATAAACAATATATCTGATAAAGAATTTGGAATAATAGTCATAAGATTAATAGCTGGGCTTGAAAAAGGCAGTAAGACAGCGGAGAATCTATTGCTGCAGAGATCAAGGAACTAAGAAATAGTCACAACAAATTAAGAAATGGTATATATGAGGTGCACAATAAAGTAGATGCAGTGACAGCAAGGACAGAGGAAGCAGAGGGGAGAATAAGTGAAATAGAAGATAAAATTATGGAAAGTGATGAAGCCGAGAAAAAGATAAGAAAATACCAGACTATGAGGGGAGAATTAGAAAACTAAGTGCTTCAATGAAATGTATTAATATCCATATCATAGGAGTTCCAGAAGAAGAGAAAGAGAAAGGGGCAGAAGGTTTACTTGAACAAATTGTAACTGAGAACTTCCCTAATCTGAGGAAGGAAGCAGACATCCAAATCCAGGAGGCACAGAAAACTCACTTCAGATTCAACAAGAATAGGTCTTCACCATGGCATATCAGAGTGAAACTGGCAAAATACAAAGATAAAGAGAGAATTCTGAAAGCAGCTAGGGACAAACAGGCCTTAACCTACAAGGGTAGACATATTAGGGTAGTAGCAGACCTGTCCACTGAAACCTGACATGCAAGATGGGAGGGGCAGGAAATATTCAATGTGATAAATAGGAAAAATATTCAGCCAAGAATCATTTATCTGGCAAGGCGGTCATTCAGAATAGAAGGAGAGATAAAGGCTTTCCCAGACAAACAAAAACTGAAGGAGTTCATGACCACTAAACCAGCCGTGCAAGACATGCTAAGGGGGACTATGTGAGTGGAATGCTGTAAAGACTACAAAGGACCAGAGCTATCACTACAAGCATAAAACCTACAGATAGCACAATGACATTAAATTTGCATCTTTCAATAATAACTCTAACTGTAAATGGACTAAATGCCCCAATCAAAAGACACAGGTATCAGAATGGGTAAAAAACTAAGATGCATCTATATGCTATCTACAAGAGACTCACTTTAGACATGAGGACACCTTCAGATTGAAAGTGAGGGGATGGAGAACCATCT